AAACATCCCAGGATAGGCAAACTACAACTCTCCAAAACTTCCTAGAGAAGGAGGACGATGAAGAGGAAAAAAAAAAAATTGGCATGCTAGAAAAATAGGTTTAAGACAGCGTGGGGGCCAGATGCATGGCAGACTCACAGAGGGGAACTTTAGAGAAAGTAAGGAAGCCCAAAGTGTCAGCAAGAGCTGGCTTAGGTTTTGGTCAGCATCTAAAGAAAGAAAACCAAACAGACAGAGAAAACCAACAGAAGAGTTACACCTTTCTTAGGATTCAGAAGGGCAGGCAACTGTAGCTGAAACTTCGTGGCTGCTCAGCTTGTCGGGACTTCACTCAAGTGAGGGTTGTAACACAGGGTAAATTATCCTACCAGTCTTAGTATGGGTTAAGGTGTGTCCACCTTCCAAGGGGTGACCCATCGACCAAGTGACTCACCCTACACTGGAACAGTAAGTCTCCACCAGGCCAGAGATTGTATGGATCTGTATGGGCGCTCTCACATTCCCCTACTCTGAAGGGCTAGGTCTAAAACCATTTAGGATCCAGATCAGGAATCTGAGCCCCAAACATTTGTGACATCTTTGACCTCTGCCAAGCTGAGGCTGTCAAAAGTTTCTTGCTTTTAGCCAAGAAAGAAAGTGGTAACATTTTTGTAGTAACATTATTTAAATTCATTTTTAAGTGACTTTGAAACTATCGTTCTATAGTTATCTTTCCATGAAATCAGTCTGAAAAAATCACTCCTAGTTTCTAACAGAGACTTTGTATTTGGGTCAGGTTCTGTCTTCAGTAAGAGCCTTGACAGAACCAGTGAGCTGTTAAGTCAGTTCTTTCCAACATGGAGCTCTCTGTTGCTGTGGAACCTTTAGTGATGATTACACATTTCTGTTGCACTGGTATTGCTTCTACTAGCATTGGATCTACTTTATTTTTCCTTGTCATTCCTTCCTTTATTCTTTATTCTAGTCTTTATTCTTAGCTCTTTAAGGAAAATGTCTTAGTCATCGACTTGAGCTCTCTTGTTTTCTAATAAGCCTGTGAAATAGAAGCTTCCCTTTAAATACTGTTTTAGCAGTACCCCACAATTTCTGATAAATTTTTGTGTTTGTTTCAGTCTTTACCCAATTTTCATGACCTTAATAATTTTATAGATTGCTTAGATACATACTAGTTAGTTACAGGGTGTATTAGTAATTGTTAGATGTGTTGTACCTTGTATTCTATTGCTGGGAGGAGACAGCATGACCAAGGCAATTATGAAGTAAAGCATTTAACTGGAGTCTTGCTTAAGGGTTTCAGAGGGTTAGACCACGATCACCATCGTGGGATCATGGCAGCAGGCAGGGAGGCATGGCACTGGAGCAGTAGCTGAGAGCTTACATCTCACCTGCAAGATGGGGTAGAGAGAGAGCAAGCCTGGGCATAGCATGGGCTTTTGAAACTGACCCTCAGTGGTACATCTCCTCCAACAAAAGGCACACAACTCCTAATTCCTAATTCCTTTTTCTAAATAGTCCACCAATAGTGGACCGATCATTCAAATGTATGAGCTTGTGGGAGTCATTCTTATTTGTTACTCTTAACCCCCTTGTTACTCTTTAACCCTCATAGTCTTGTAGCAATACCATAACGTGAAATGTATGTAATACAGCGTCAAAAGTCCCCAGAGTTCTTTACAGTCTCCATACTGTTTAAAACTACCAAGTCCCTTCTGAGGCTCAAACAGTCTCCTAACTGTAACCTCCCATATAATCAAAAACCAAATTACATACTCACAGTTTACAATGACACAGGATATACATTACCATTCTAAAAGGAGGAAAAGGGGATATAGTGAAGAAATACTGGACCAAAGCACAAAACACTCTCTCTCTCTCTCTCTCTCTCTCTCTCTCTCTCTCTCTCTCTCTGGTTCTTCCTGTATGTAGTTTTGTTTGGTAGGTATCTCATGGCTCTGGTACCTCCAGCATTTGGGGGCTATCTGGAGCAATGTAGTCTTCACCTTCACATTCTCATACAGAGGCTTCTCAGGGCCTCCATGCAGTCACATGGGACTCTGTCGTCACACATCTGGCTGCAGAAGCTTTCCTTAACCATGGAAGAAGGTTCCACAACTCCTTTACTTCTTATCCTTGCATTTAAGCCAGAACCACGTGGCTGGAGCCAGGCCCCTCCACACCTTCCATCTGCCTAAGCTTTGACTTACTGGGGGCTTTCTTTGTTGAATAAGCTTTTCTTTTCAGAAATTGGGAGCTTAGTTGGGTGGGGTCTTGCCCTGAGGATACCATTCGCTTTACTCCATTTAGCATCAGGCCTTTCTTTAAACATCTCATCTCCTTGGAACACAGGACTGGCTCTAACATTGTTTCCTGGCACTCTTTCTTTGCACAAACTGTACATTTTATATTTCTTTTTGCCCCATTTGCTCATTTTCATTGTAGATCTGTATAAGAGTCGTCAGTAGTAACCACATGTCTTGAAATCTCTCTGTCAATGGCACTAGTCAAAACTTCTTTAATTTGGCTTACAGCATATTTTTTTGGACAAGAATAAAATGTAGCTACATTCTTTGCCAAAATAGCATAGCTGTCTGTAGCTCAGCCAGTAATATCTTTCCACTCTGAAACCTCATGTGCTGTGCCTCCATAGTCTACGCTGTTCTCAGCAGTACTGACTACCAAGTCTGTATTAAACCTACAGAGTCTTTGTAACCCCTGCTTAGAGCATTCAACCACTTTCCTGATCCAAAGTCCCGAAGTCCACATGCTGCAAACAAGCACCCAGCCCTTTCTTAGTCCTGTTCTATTGCTATGCGAAGACACATGATCAAGGCAATGTATAAACAGAAACATTTAATTAGACACTTGCTCACAGTTTCAGAGGGTTAGTCCGTGATTATTACGCCAGGGAGCATGGCAGCAGGAAGGCAGGCATGGTGCTGGTGCAGGAGCCAAGAACTTTTTTCTCATCCGGAAAACGGAGGCAGGGAAAGATCAAGACCCAGCTTTTCTCATCCGGAAAACGGAGGCAGGGAAAGATCAAGACCCAGCTTGGAGTGGGCTTTTGAGCCATCAGAGCCTACCCCCACTGACACTCCTCCTCCAACAAGGCCACACCTCCTAGTCCTTCCTTTTGAACGTCTTCCAGCCTTGTTGGGAGGTGACTCCCTTGGCACAGTACCTACCATCCAAGCTTGAGGGATTAATGTGTTATCTCAGAGCACAGAAAAGCAGTCCATGTCAGCATCTGCTTACAGCTCCGGCACTGCAGACAGGCAGGTCCTGCCTGTCTCAGACCAGCCAATCTGGCAAGTCTAACCAGTGGGCTCCAGGTCAGTTGAGAGCCTCTCAGAGCAGCAAGTCAGAGAATGGTTGCAGAAAACACTAGAGGTCAACCTCTAACCTCTACATTCATGATATACAACTGTATGTACGCATGCATGGACATGTACTGACACACACTACACGTGTACTACACTACACATATTTTTTCCAGAAGGTTTAAATGTGTAAATCAATGAAGTAATCAAAAAATGCAGAGCATAAGAAAAGTCTTAACTTTCTAAGACACTTCCAAATTATTCAGAAATGGCCACGCCGTCCTCAGTTTCATCAACAACATATTAGTCTCTGCATTCTCATAGTCTTGTAAGATTGTTGCCCTTTTTAACAATTGGTGCCCTTTTTAACCCTCTAGTGCCCAGTGATCAACACTTACATAACAAATTTCTAGAAATTGGATTATTAATGTGATGTGAATCCTGTATCTGTTCTTCATACAGACTTCTTTTTTGGATAGAAATATTGCAAAAATTTACTCCCAGATTGCAGTTTGCTTTTGTAGTGTTTTCATTCTGCCTTTGGAAGAATGGATGTTTGTAAGTTTGGGGAAATACGGTTTTATTTCATCTTCTAATGTTATACTTTGTGCTTAGGAAAGCTTTGCTTACTCAGGCCCACGCTGTCTTTTAAGCTCCATCTCTTTAGCTTAACATTTAGATTGAAATATTATTTCAGTTGCACTTTAAAAACAAAGGAGGCCTCTAGTTAACTTGCCTGTCAGAGGCTGACAGGTGAGTGTTGGTCACATGATATTTCTAAAGATGGGGTCCTTCAGATGACCGTCAGGACGTTTACAGTGTTCCCTCAATATATCTGATTACCTACTGTGGTAGTCGTAGTTGTACCCTATAGAGTGGGTCATAATTATGTTTCTATCTACTCCAATGTGGTTTTGAAAAACCTAAATAATGAATAAAATGTTGAAGTCTACTCCTGCCTCCTCCTCCTCACCCAGCTCCATTTTCCTCTTCTTTACTTTCTTTACACTCCAACCTATTTCTTGCTCTACTTGTTTTTCCTTCCTTCCTTTTAAAGTGGATGTGTTTGCCATTCCAGCATCACAGTTTTGTGAGGTTTTGTAGGCTGTGTTTTTACACTTTCGTGTACTCCGTTTGTGGTGGCTGGTTCCTGAACTCAGACAGAGAGGTGCCACTTTACCATAGGTTTCTGCATCACCTGTCCTGTACATCCTAATGACATCATCCTTGATGCTCTTTCCAGAGAATGCTGGAAAAGTGCGAGAGTATGGGCCATGCCACAGAAAGCTAAGTCATAATGTGTGTGCAGAAAAACTAACTTAGGAAGAGAATGTTTTCCAAGATAAGTGAGAATCTGACATTTTCACGCTGCGTGAAACCCTGTGATGTACTGTAACACAACTTTTTAAAAGTGAGAGTCGCATCGGCCTTCTGGGTGCTGGGTCACAAGCACACCTTGTGAGTTACTCGCAGGTTAGTGTAGCATCATTTTGAAGCTGCAATTTCTCAACGAATTTTGCCACAGTAATGATTCTAATATCTGACAGCGTTGTAATCACCTCAAGGTCTATTTTATATCATGTTGAAATTACAGCTTCTTACTTTGCTGGTGACTGCAAAGGAATGTATTGTAACTGTAGTTTTGCATGGATTAACAACATGCCTTTTTCCTTTTTGCTGTAGGATAAGAAATGGAATCTCAATCATGAAGATGTTACATTGGGAGCACTACTCGGCAAGGTATGCAATCAGCTGAGCTAAATAAGAAATTTTATATTAACCATGAGTACATCATATTGCTGTTCAAAGCACTTTTTATATTCCATTACAATCAGGGTACATATACATTAATTAATCTAGAAGAGGATAGTATCATCATATCTTATAGAAATCTCCTGACTTTTACTGAGATAGACATGTGATAATCTTACAAAAGTTTATGTTGATCCCTGTTTTTAAAAACAGTGTGTGGTACATGCCTGTAATCCCAGTATTTGGGAGGCAGAGGCATGCAGATCGCTGTGAGTTCAAGGCCATCCTGGTCTACAAAGCAAGTCTAGAACAGCCAAGGCCACACAGAGAAACCCTGTCTTGAAAAACAAAACAAAAATAGTGTATATTTTCCCTGGATCAAAGCCATAATGAATCTATATTAAAACCAAAACTAGCTGTGTGGAGGCATGCACTTATAACCTAGCACTTGGGAGGCAGAGGCAGGTGGATCTCTGTGAGTGAGAGGCCAGCCTGTTCTACAGAGTGAGTGCCAGCACAGCCGGCTACACAGAGAAACCTTGTCTCAAAAAAACCAAACCCAAACAAAAAACCCACAGCTATTGAAGGAAGGAGAGAAGTGAATGTACAAATGGGCATCCAGCCGACACTGTGCTTCCAGCTGTATTTGGTGATTTAGAAAAAAGTAAAGTGTTGCTTCTTAAAGTCTCAGGAAAGGCTGTAACACTACCTCATCATAAAATATCATGTGAGCAAAGGCAGGGGATAGAGGTACCTGCCTCTAAGCCTGGCTACCTGAGTTCAATACCCGAGATCCACATGGTAGGAGAGCACCGCACCCAAACATATGACAGATGGGAGAGGTGGGGAGGGAAGGCAGAGAAAAGAAAAGTAAGTTTATTTAGGTACTGTGAACAAGATGTGTTTCATTTCAAGTAACCATTTTGTAACCAGCTCTGCTAGTGGTGTGAGGAAAAATCTTAAGAGAAGTGAGGGTTTCTTTTCCTGCAGTCCAGTTGGAGGTTTTCTCCAAGTCTTACTCCACACTAAAACACATTCTTTCCAATGCATTTGGAATGTCCAATAGAGAAGAACATTTGATAATTAATCAAATAGACTCTTCACAGATCTGCCAGTCATCTTTACTCAGGTCATGGTGAATAAATATTACTTTGTCAGTGACTTAATTGTGGGTGTTTCTTTATGAAATCTTGAGTGGAATCTAGCTTCGTGATGCACTGTAAAAATAATGTAAAATTCAAATATTATTATAGGAAAGCTTTTATATAATTTATGAGTGATCAATGCTAGATTCACCTGAGGTTCAGCATTTTAAGTAATAAATGATAATCCATTTGTATTCAAAAGTGAACTTGACCACTTCTTCTAATGCTCCAAAGCCCTGCAGTTTAAGACAGGAAGTCCTTTCTGAAGTTCTGTCGTTGTAGGACTATCTTAAATGCCTTTTCAGATGGAAGCATCTTGTTGCTGTTGGAAAGAGGCTGTATTTGCTAATGTGTTTTTAGTAAGTTAATGCTAAAGAGCCTAAGCTAAAAGAAGCACTCGTTCTGAGGAGCTCTCCTAATCTCAAGGAAACAGTCCTAAACATTATAACAGTGTTGCTTAGGTTAACAGCCCAAAGCAGCAGTTTGGTGAAAAGTTACCACAAAGAAACTGATTTTCTTGAAAATACAATTAAATGATAAATTTCAAAAATAAAATACTGAAACAGACTATATTTACAAAAACAGATTTTTTTCAGTACTAAACAAAAAATATTTGTAATTAAAGAATATGTTCTAATTTTATATTTGTTTGTTTTGAGACAGGGTCTCACGTATAGCCCTGGCTGTCCTGGAACTTGCTGTGTAACCAGGCTGGCCTCAAACTCAAGAGTTTCTTATGCCCCAGCCTCCCAAGTGTAGGGCATAAAGGCATGCAAGAGCATAGCTGGTGTGTGCGTCCATGCATGTGTGTGTTTCTAGTAATTTTTTATGTTTACTGTATGATCATTCAGTAAGAATTAAGTTTCTTAGTAAAGATACTTGATAGAATAATTACTTTTTTAATGACTAGGCATGATGGTCTCAATAAATTTAAATATTTTAAGGAAAATACTTTTAAAGAACTCTTATTTAGCTTAATTTTATTTAGTATTTTAAAATACTGGCATATAATTGTTATTATATTATTGCCTTTTCTGAATATTTATGGTATATTAAGAATGTATGAGTAGTTAAGAGACCTAAACTTTTTAATAGTAATTACTAAGTAATGTCAGAAACTAACCTCTTAATTCAGTGCCATAGCCTTCAGCTGCAGCTTCTCTATAGTTGGCATTAAGTCATCCCGTGCTTACAGTATGCCTGTGGTGTGGTGCACACTCTCCTGGGGCTGAGGGCTAACTTCTTAATTTGGTATCATAGCCTTATGAGTTGCTCTGTAGCTGGTATTGAGTCATCTAACATTTACGGATGCCTGTGGTATGGCATGTGCTTTCCTGGGTGCTGGGTGTGTGTCCATGAGCAAGCAGAGAGAACCTCTTGTGCGCAGACTGCCTCTGCTGAGCATGGGGGAAGACAGGTAACTTGAGTGCTGAAATGGATGCCATTTATGTTAGAGGGCACTGAGTCCTGAGAAAAGCATACAGGGCCTAGTATACTTGTTAGTCAGTGCTACAGTTCTTAAACGGAAAGGCAGGCAGACCTTATTCAAATGGTTACCTTTAAGTGAGAACTTGTCAGAAACACCAGTGAGACATGAGGACAGCTTTGGGTTAGGCAAAGGCTAGTCAATGCAGAGCCCGTCTGCCAGGCACCAGACAGTTTTGATGACAGGTAAAGGGGAGGTGGGAGTCAGCAAGATGATGAGGGTGCAGATCAGATAGGGCCTGACTGGACACTGGAAGCCTTAACTTTGATCATGAAGGAAATGTTGAGCAGGTGGGTGGTTTCCAGTAGAGCAGGATAATGCTCTGGGCATTGTGAGTTGACAGCTTAGGGGAGAAGTGCTTAGGTGAGTGAGGTCTGTACAGGGTTGGGCTGGGACAAGTAAATTTAGATACCTTTTGAAGTTGAAGCACTTGTATATCATGATGGATATAGTAGGGATTGAGAGAAAGATGGAAGTCAGCTCTAAGGGCAGCAGACTTCTGGGAAGAAAATTAAAGGTATGTGCTGCATCAAATTTATCTGTTAGATTTTTGTATAATGGCAAGGAAAGGGAGTTGAATAGCAAGTGCTGAGGTTAAACCAGATATTATTGCAGAATATAAATAGGGGAGTTAGGAGTTGGCCTAGATTAAGAAGAGGGGTGAGAACTGAACCCTGGTCATTTCAACATCAAGAAACTAGGGGAAGAAAAAGCAGTCCTCAAGGAAGTAGAAAAAGACAAAAACCAGGAACTGTTACTATGCCTTAGAAGCTAAGAGGAGATGCTAAACCACGGAGGGGAGAAGGCTGCCTGGGACCAGGTCCTGTGAGTGAAATGCCAGGGGTGATAAGGCTGCACCACTTTGTTGTAGCCCAGGCAGGATGGTTTAGAGGGGCCTGAGGTCGCAAGGCTGTAACTCCGCTGCAAAAGGGGTAGTGACATGGTGAGTACATCTAGAGTTATTCTGTGACGTGTGACTTTAGAGCAGTAATGGCACCTTAGTCCAGCTAGAATTGACTGAATTGAAGGCTCTAGGGCTTGAGCATGTTATGAATTGCAAAGGGCAGCATGAGATTCTTCACAGTGGAATAGAAGCAATGACAGGAATACCATGTCTTAGTTGTAACCCAGGGATATGAGAGTCCAGTAACATCACATAGATTACTTTAGGATTTATTAGGTTTTGTTTTTGTTTTAGAAAAGTAGGAAGCAATATCATTAGCTATGAAATGATGGGAGTATTGAAAGGAGAGTAGAGAGCAAACCAGTTATTCAAAAGATTGGGAGTGTAAATGATCTAGAGAAAATAGCCAACCCACTAGAAGGGCCCTGTAGCGGGTTTTGTTTGTGAATTTACAGTTAATTCAGTCAGCAGGTTAAGGTCTCTAGCTGTATTTGAGTAGAGTCAGTTGAGTGACAGTGATACTTGTCCGGAGTGACAGTGAACAAAGGGAAGTATTTCCAGTAGGTGACAGCCGTGATGAGGGACAGTAGAAACAGCTGCATGAGTCTTGAAGCTGGGAGTTGGAAGAACAGAGAGTTTCAGTTTAAAGCCAGTAATAAGAATCTAAGGGAATACTCAAAAACGAGCCCTTTGAAAAGGTGTTAGTCATATTGATCTGTGCTGTGCTGTGGGTTTCTTTTCTTCCTACATGCATTGAATATAAGGAGTATAAGCCAAAGCTGATGCTAGCTAGGGGAAATCCCACCCTTCCCCCTATAGTGTCTATACACTCGATCAATATTAGTTCACCACAATAATATCAGTGCCTGAGTAAGCCCCCTTTCCACCCTGAACCTTCAGACATCAGCAGCCTGTTTCTGCAGCAGATATGGTTTTCTGGATCAGTGCCAATGGGTCTCTCTCAGAATCTTTGCTTTACATTTAATCAGTGTTTTTTAACTTAAGAAAACATAGAGCTTAAATCATAAAAAAAGAGTCAGTGGAAGGAGATCCACATACTTAAATTAAAGCAGTCGTGATAGAGTTCTCCTTTTGTTGAACCCAACCATTAGAATAACCAGTTTTCTCTAGCAAAGACTAACCTGGAGGCATCGTGGAGGAGCGATGCCCATATTTATTGCAACCTTTATTGCTGTTTATTGGTATAAATAAACAGCATAGTGCTTTGGTTGACTCAAAATGCTTTATTTTATGCTTTCTTGAAATTTTAGAAAAGATTCAAATGTTGTCAGACATGCCAAACAATGATTATATTCTTATTTTCAGGGGAATTTTGGTGAAGTGTATAAGGGCACACTAAAAGATAAAACTCCTGTTGCTGTTAAGACATGCAAGGCAGATCTTCCTCAGGAATTAAAGATAAAGTTTTTACAAGAAGCCAAGTGAGTTCTTTAAAATTATATGAAATGTGTGTCCATAGTTAATTATATTTATTATTCTGCTGTGTGGAATCCCCTGAGGTAAGTTTCAAGACCTCTGAGCTGTGATTGCTGACGCAGAAGTCATTTCTTTCGAGCCTTCCTGAGTGACACTTGATGGCGTGGGAACCCTTTCTGGTTGAGCTGGCCTGGAGGCCAGTTAAGCAGGCCTGGTAGCAATGAGTATCAAGAGTGTAATTATTCCCCAAGCCCTTAAAGATACTGCAGCACTTTTTATTTTTCTATCATCTGTGTTTATACACAGTGCTGTAGTTATATTTGTAATAAAACTGAAGTAGCATCTTATATATACCTTTAGCTGTATTTATATATCTTGTACTCTTATTGGATATTATAACTCTGATTCCTTTCCCGAGAATCAAAGTTTCTTCTTGTTTTGTATCTGGCATTTGTTCAGGAATCTTGCATACCCTTTCTTTCCTAAGGTGGCTTCTATATATTGTATTCCTAGCTAAAATTAAATGGACCACTTAACTATCGCTGCACTGCAGATAGTTAACACACTCTGTCATGTAGAAAATCAAGTATACCATTTACATATTTAAAACATGAAAATATAATTTGAGCAGAGTATGCTAGAGAGAAATGTGGGAGGAGAGGAGAGAAATGAGGAGTGGGTGGTGAAGACAGAAAGAAGTGACAGCAAGGGGACCAAGCTTTTAGCACACATCTCCACTTATCCTCTAAAAATATCTGTCTCCATAGATTCAAGTTAAGTATTAAGTACTTAAATGCTGTCTGACGATGAAGCTGTAGGCTTTGCATGTACATTGTTGGAAATTCAGTGATAAGAGCTGTGCTATTATCACTGAATTTACAGTCAGGCTGGTAGACAGTCTTACATATTCTTAGGGTGAAAGGCTGTGTTTAACATTACTTAAAACATTATTCCTACTTTGAAACTTGTCATTATTTTATTGTAAACTTAAAAGTTTAATTTCTTTTTAACTGAAATTACGAAGTTTGATATTAGAAAAGTAAATTCTGTCCATTCAAGCTTCTGAGTATTCCTTCATAGATACCAGTTAGATAGCTAGCTGTTCTATGCAGTTTCTTTATTACCATCTTCTGGCCTTACAGATGACATTTTGTATTAAAGCCAAATATTCTTGAAACTTGAATTTTAATTTCTATAAAATTTTTTCTAAGTCATTGACAGTATTTTTGTCTAAAATATTTCCTAGTTTCTTTTCAATTTATAAGTCATTATGTATTTTAAATCTAAAATGTTTTTCTTAGAGTTTGTCCTTTCTTATTTGTGTATACATAAAACATTGTTTTTTCTCTAGGTTTTTTTTCCATTTTTATAGGAAAGATTGCAGCAATTTTTCCATAGGAGTGAATTTATAATATCAGGGTAAAAGGGGGTCTAAGGGATTTATTCTATATTCAGCTCATACTTGAAGTCCTGCTAATGACTGTTTCTTATTCTATAACCTCAACCAAAATAATGTATTTATCCAAACTAATTCCTTACTGACTGAGCTCAGCTTATGTTAAAACATTTTCACTTGATCGCTTTTATTATCCCAGTATTAAAAACTGTTTTTGCCATCTGAAACTGATTATGTAGTAAGTGATGTCTGTTACATTTACCAGTGTGGGTGATTTGAAGATGATAGGTGATAGATGTTTTGAAGTGAGTTCCATGTGTCATTCTTAACTGGCCTGATTATTAGTTATTCCCAGTAGGTACAAATTTTAAATAAATGAGGTGATCCACTCACTTGCACTTGTGCTTTGCTGGCCATATTTACCAGTACTTGTCGATATTCATCCCACTTATCAGAATTTGAAGTCATACTGATATTTTAAAAATTAAATATATTAAAGTATATTTTAATTACATACATTGTTAATCATAAATTAAAGCTTTGTTTTATTCCATTGATTAACTCATTTTTTTTCTCGTCTAGAATTCTCAAGCAATATGATCACCCCAATATTGTCAAACTTATAGGCGTGTGCACACAAAGACAGCCTGTCTACATCATTATGGAACTGGTCCCAGGTAATACTATTTGAGAGCTTTACTTGATGACATTTTAATGTCATGTTTTATTGCCTTTTTACATTCAGTCTCTTTGATATTTCCTTGTAAAGTTTCCAAGGAGTATTGCATAACATTTTCCTGATAACAAAGCCTGCATATATACTCAATATTTTTATATTGAGTATAAAACATGTTTCTATTTCCTAGAAAATGTCAGCCAACACTTTTTGAGACAGATTTATTAGAGTGTAGTTATATATGGAGTTCAGTTAGTTATATATAATGTTTATATGTAAGGCTGCTTAGGAAAATGGCATTAGTGTGACTTGAGACATTGTAAGTACCATTTTATATTTTCTTCTTGTCTGTTATTTCAAAGTCCAGCTCCACACATCCTCTTTTTGATGAAAAAAAAAAAAAAACCTCCTGGTGCTTTGTGGTCACTTAGAATTACGTGCTTTTTTCATGTGTGGCTAACAAAGGGTGTGCTATCCTGGAATCTTCTCTGGATACTTTGATGCCTCTTAGTCTTTAACAACTTGTAGCAGCAAGCATGGAACCACAATCATAGTATGAAATAGTATGTTTAAAGTTTTTGTTGCTATCTGTCTTCTTGGGGAAAAACACAAAGTGAAACTTGATCTCAATACAATTCACAGTGCTTCATAACCAAAAGGGTTTGCTTTTTACCCTTTCAGTGTCTACCTCACTTAACTTCTTTAAAAAAGAAAAATTAAAGGAATATGAAAATCATGTGTGACTGCAATTAAAATACTGCACGTAAACCCAGTCTTGTAGACTCCCTTATAAACATGGGCTATAGAATGTTTCTACTATTTAGGGTTAGCTTTTTTTTCTTTTTCTTTTTTTTTTTTATACAGGTTTTCTCTGTGTAGTCTTGGCTGTCCTGGCCTCACTTTGTAAACTAGCCTGGCCTCGAACTCACAGAGATCTGCCTGCCTCTGCATCCCCGAGTGCTGGATTACAGGCGTGTGCCACCATGCCCAGCTAGCATCCTTTCTTACCATACTACTTTGCTTGCTACTGAAATACTCTATGTATTAACTTAACTGCAGCACATATAGATTATCATTAATTTCATCAAAATGACACTGTCTGTGTTAGGTGCATCATATTTTGGCATGATCTGTGCATAAAAGAGCACAGCCTAAAGTCTTAGCAATGAATAGCATATAGTTATATATTCTATTCTATGTAACTTAAAGAGTATAGAATATATTTACTATATAGATTAGGATGTTTAAAATAACTACATGCTGACATTTGCGTAGGTGCAAGTGATGGTTTAAGTTCATAAAAAAATGTACTAAACAGCTTATATTTGGGAGGTGAGCCAAACTTGAAGAAAATCGACTGTCCTTGGCATGATTGAAAGGTTTAGATGGCAAGCGTAGCTGAGTAAAACCAAAGACAGTTGTAGACAGTAACCAGGCAAGTGTACAGTGATTCAGTAGTCACAAAGTCTGCTGTTTGCACATATAATGAAAGAATGCCTTCTAGTCAACAATCTGATGGGCTTTCCATGCCAAAGCGCTTGCTTGGGCCTTAGCTTTTTCTGCTAATATTACTTGTGATGTTTTTGTCTCGTGATCACCAACCACTTCTACCTGTCCCCTGACATGACTGTAAAGCACTCCTTTTTGTAAAATTCATGTGGTTTGTCTGATCAGTATTTTAGTTTACTTTTTCCTTTTTTTCTCTTTGTTAGTTTGTTTTGCAAACAGTCTCACACACACTTTCCACGCAGTGTGCACTTACTTAGAAATATGATTAAAAACTCAGTAGTGTGATTCATTTCAACTTGATGCCCACTCTGAAGATGTGTGAGGTATGACAAACTTCAGTAGCTAGGAACTTGAAAGAACTCATTTGTTACCCCCATAGTGTCCATCAGAAGTTAAACTTTGACTGGATTTTCTCAAGCCAATGCCAAAATGTCAGGCTGAGCTTTTAACCTGGAGATTTTTGGGGCTAATCTATTGAGGACTGCTTAGGTATTGGCAGAATCCTGATCTGTCTGTACTGTTGGAGGTTCTCAGTTCTGTGTGGTTTGCCAGCTCTACCTCAGCTCCTTCTCACATGGTCTGTGCATCTTCATAGCACATAGTTGACATGCCAAATACTTCAATTTCTCAGATTTGCACTTTTCTTACCAGCTGTAGAATTAATGTGCTAAGATCAGTTCCACTTGGATGCTATCCCTACATGAAGGTCAACTCTGTCATGTGACTGAACATATTTATGAGACCATCCAATAACGGTGACATATCCAGGGATTAGGGTGGGGAAAGCCTAGCACACCATCTTTCAGTCCTGTGTACCACAGTAGCTTTCTCAGTATTTTCTTAATGACTAGTTGCATTGTGGATTCTAAAACTCTATTAGTGAACTTTCCATACAAGGTTACATTAAGTCCATTGGTTGACATGCAATTGAACTGTATCTTTTGCCCATGCATGATTCTGTAGCATGATGCTTGAGTCATTTGGAAAACATCAGGTCATTATAGTCTGCAGATCTTTCAAATAGTGACACAATTCACTATACAGTGTTCAAAGAGCACCTTCATTAATGTTACAAGCTAATCTCATTAGAACAGTAATGGGACACTCCCAGGCTTGTAGTAGCAAAAACATGTTTTTAAAATTTTTTATTTTAATTTGAAAGACTCTTTTATCCCTTTCCATAAAACTTTACAGCCTTTTTCTTTAAAAGGTGCAGCTCACTTCATTTTTGAAAAAAAAAAAATAACTGCCAACCATCTTCAGTTCTAATAATCATGAGTTTTTCCCCTTTGAAATCTTTATCATAAGACAATAAACACACACATCACCCTCCTATTCTCTCTTGCCTCTCTGTGGTTCTTCCCCGGCCTTCCTGTGCCATCTCCGTCAACCACGGATCCACCACCCATCTTGCTAGTTAGGATGTCTTAGACCATTGTGTACGTGCCATTATATGGTGCATGCTTATTCTTTTTTTCTAAAGTCTTCTTAAAATTTTTTTATTAATTACACTTTATTTACTTTGTATCCCCCAGAAGCCCCTCCCTTCTCCCCTCCCGGTCCTACCCTCCTTCCCCCTTCTTCACTCATGCCCCTCCCCAAGTCCACTGATAGGGGAGGTCCTCTTCTCCTTCCTTCTGATCTTAGTCTATCAGATCACATCAGGAGTGGCTGCATTGTCATCTTCTGTGGCCTGGTAAGGCTGCTCCCCCTCAGGGGGAGGTGATCAAAGAGCAGGCCAGTCAGTTCATGTCAGAGGCAGTCCCTCTTCCCATTACTATGTAACCCACTTGGACACTGAACTGTCATGTGCTACATCTGTGCTGGGGTTCTAGGTTATCTCCACGAATAGTCCTTGGTTAGAGTATGGGTCTCTGGGAAGTTCCCTGTGTTCAAATTTTCTGGTTCTGTTGCTCTCCTTGTGGGGTTCCCATCCTCTCCAGCTCTTACTATTTCCCATTTCTTACATAAGATTTCATGCACTCTGCCCAACAGTTGGCCATAAGTCTCAGTGTCTGCTTTGATAGTCTGCAGGGCAGAGCCTTTCAGAGGCCCTCTGGCAGGTTCCTAGCTTGTTTCCTGTTTTCTTCTTCTTCTGATGTTCTCTTTGCCTTTCAGGATAAAGTCTTGTGATTAGTATAATTGTATGAAATTAATCTACTTTTGTGTTGTTGTTGTTGTTGTTGTTTTTTTTTTGAGCATACAAAGTGATGGGTCTTCTGACATTTTCATACATCTATATTGTTGCCCCTTGCTTACATTCACCTCCTGCTCTTTCCTGCCCTTCTCCATCTTTGATGGTCCCCTTCATTTTTCTCCTGCTTTCATGGTGTGTGTGCATGCATGTGTATATCTATATTGCTAAATCTAAATTCTGCATGTGAAAGAAAAGCATGTGATACTTCGTCTTTGTTCCTTGTATTATGCTATATTCCCTTTCTTTCCTTTTCTGCTTCCTTGTCATCTGCCTTTTGAAAACATCCTAGTCCATTCCTTTTTAGTACTGAGTAGAGTTTTCTTTTGTGAGTACGCCGTAATTTATCCATTTTGCTTATGATAGAGTTTTGGGTTGTTTCATTTTGAGGCTGATTACAAATTAATTTGATCCATGTACATGTTTTTACATTAAAGTGTACTTTTTTTTTCTTTAGTAAACCACAAGTGAATTGAATGGATCATAGGAAATTTATGCTCAAAATTTTAAGAAGTTACCGAAGTGTTTTCTAAAGTGGCCATACTGTTCTATGTTCCATACAACATCTATGAGACTTCTATTTCCACTGTACCCTCCTCAATGCCTGCTTTCTTTTCCTAAGCCTTCCTAATGTTTATAAAGAAGTACTTTGTTATGTGTCTTATTTGTTAGTTAGTTTGTTTGTTTGTTTGTTTGTTTGTTTGTTTGTTTGGACAGGATCTCATTATGTGGACCAGGCTATCCTTGAACTCTGACATCAGTCTGTCTTGGAATGCTGAGAAAGGTGGTCACCACCACACTTGGCTTTGTTATGGTTTTAACTATCTTTCTTAGCTGCATAAAACCGCAGAGCATCTTTTATGTCTTAGGGTGGAGCATCTCTAGAACTTACTTGGTCTAGTATATTTTCAGTTATTGACTACTTTTTAATTGGGTCACTTGCCTTTAGGTTCTTTAGTATTTTAAGTGCACGTCCATACTTTTTCCCTCTCTTAACCAAGCCTTTTTATTTTCTTAAGTGTTCTTTGAAGAGTAGTTATGTGTAATTTTGATGAAATTTTTATATCTTTTTTAGGGATCATGCTTTTGATGGTATTTCTAAGAACTTTGAGCACAAGGCCACAGAGGTCTTTCCATTTATTAAAAAAGTTTCAGGTTTTTATAACTTGTATTTGATTCTATGATCAGTTTCTATTTTTTCTGTCTTTTGCGTTTCTTCATGCCAGTATAATACCATATTGATAACAATCATTTTCCAAGTCCCCAGAATATGTGCAGGCAATATATGCTGAATTTAT